TCGTCGCATCCAAAATGTGCCATTCGCTCATGGAATCCAACGCGTGTATTCCATTGGAGCACGCGCAGCAGCTGGGGGAAACCTGGAAGGGGTACCAGCAGGAAATTCTGTCTGCGAAGGTGTCTATCACCAAATCGCTGGACGCGGTCGTCATTGAACCGGATATACCTACCATTTTTCGACGCCAGCAGCGACGGCGCGGATCGTCTAAGTCGGAGACATCTCTTCCTGCTTCGCCCTCAATGCAGCCGCGGAGAATGAGCAGCTTGGAAGACGAGGAATTTCCGAAGGGATGTTGGAGGTTCTCGTTCGGGGAGAGGAAGCGCGGTTCTCGTTAACAATATTTTTCATTATTCCCTTCATTATTTTCTCCGTCTGTATAACTTTATCAGTATCATAATTGGAGGCGACACCCTGCGCCAGCATTCTTTCTGCTTTTGGTCTCATCACCGAAATGTCCTTTTTGGGTGATCGATCATTCGGCATTTTTGCACCGCGTCCACCGACTCGCTTGGGCGTTCGTTATCGACCGGGATGTGGATGTCTTGGACATCTCGAGCAAGAGACCTCGGCGCGCTCGCCAGATCGACTTTCCCGAGGGACATCCTCGTAAGTTGTTCCTGAAATTTTTACATCCGTTTGATTTGACATAGGCGTCGCAGAGGGCGACCGACTTGCACCGTGGGTTGGCTACACATTTAGCACGCGCATCTGCGTCGGCTGCTGCCCTCAACCCTCATCCGCCACCGCAGCCGGTCTCTCGGTCAGTCTCAGAGGTGGTGTCCGATGACCTTCCCATGATAAGCATGGATGGCCGCAAAGTTGCAGTGGGCTGGGATACACGAACTTGGTCTCGTTTGTACGCAATCCCGCCTGCCCGAGTTACTTTTGGCTAATGGGTTCAGAAAGCCACAACATATGGCTCCGGGACCACTGCCGTTGTCCAGAGTGCTTTCACGCGATAACAAAACAGCGGTTAATAAACACCTTCGAGGTCCGCATTCTCCCCTGGTTCTAATTTCACAAGGCCAACATTCCCCTAGATCCCTCCGGATATTACGCCTACCCAGGTCGAGCCAACTGCAGACGGTCTACAGGTTTCATGTGCGACATGCTGCCGCCGTTTCCGCTTTGCATTTACGGTTTATTAGGGCCTTCTTCGACACCACACGTATCCCTGTATCCGTGGGCGTGGCTTCAGAGAAACTCATATGACCCGCCTCTCCGCCCAAGAGAGACCCAGTTGGAGTAAGCATGTTATCTACGTCTCATCCTTCCGCATCTGTCTGATCTGTTTCAGGAAAATTATTTGGAGTTCAAAGATTCAAACCTCACCTCCTACAATAACGTACCAGGAGGCCATGGCAGAGGACGATCGTGGACTCTACAAGTGGCTGTCCCATGTTGTAAGCACAGTCAATATTTCTCTCGCTTACGCTTCAATTTCGTGTCAGGACCATTTTGGAATGTGCTTCATATCTGGTGTCCCGCCGACACCGGAAGCCACCGAGGAACTAGCTCAACGCATTGGTTTTATTCGCGAAACTCAATGTAATTGTTGCGTTCCTGCTTCATTTGGTACTTGTTCTGACGCGTAATGCTATAGACGGTAAATTCTGGGACTTCACGTCTGATCTTGCCAAGGGCGACACGGCATACACGACTCTAGCACTCGGTGCACACACGGACAACACTTATTTCGTGTGTCATCTCACTCTTTGCGTATATGAAGTAAACTGAATACCGCGCAACACAGACTGACCCTTGCGGCCTCCAGTTATTTCATCTACTTGCACACACCGATGGCTCTGGCGGCTCCACGCTACTAGTTGACGGTTTTTATGTGGCCTCTATACTGAAGGAGCTGCACCCAGATGCATACTCCATCCTGGCGCGTACCCCTGTCCCTGCTCATGCCGCCGGTGAAACCTCCGCTCTTTACCAACCATACCCCGCTTGTGGATATCCGGTCCTTGGCCATGACCCAACTACCGGAGAACTCACTCAAGTGCGATGGAACAACGACGACCGAAGTGTCATGAACAATCTGGATCCTTATCAAGTCGAGGAGTGGTATAATGCCATTCGAACGTGGAACAAACTTCTCACCAGCGCGGACTCTGAATACTGGGTTCAGCTGGGTCCAGGGACTGCCGTCAGTGCGTACAATTATTTCCATACACTTCACCGTCTTATTTGTTGTCGCAGTCCTCGACAATCACCGTGTTCTGCACGGTCGCTCCGCGTTTACGGGCAAACGTCGCATGTGCGGCGCATACATTGGCGTGGACGAATATCGTTCCAAGCTCGCCGTCCTGCGTGAAAAATTCGCTCCCAATGCTTCAGGCTCCGAATTAACGGACCGAAGTGTTTGGAACCCTGCTCTTTAATCATGTCCTCTGCTATGACGTCGCCGAACACTCATATGTACCACTATGACATACACTTACTTATACCTCCTCCTCACTCACTGTAAATGGTTTTTACCTTGTATAACCCCCTTTGTAGTTTACCCCAGTATTCAAAAGTATTCCCCGCGCGTCCTGAACAAATAGTAAACGTGAATAATGCAAGATCCTAATTGATACATTGAAAAAAAAACTACGAAGACAGGACAATACTTTTGCACTCAGGCAGCCTCTGCCGCCTTTATCTCCTTCAGAATGAAGCCTTCTAGCCCTCCGCATACCCACAGCTCTTGTACGCTCGCACCCACGAGTTTAACGGCGTAAACCTTCTCGGTCAAACCTGCGACACCCCCGTCTATCGTCAGCACCACCCGGCCGTCCACCATCCCCACGACGACGTTGAGCCCCTTATCCACGGTCAACTCGCCATGCAAACCCCCAGCGCCCCTCGTGCCGGACTTTGCATAATCCTTTGTTAGATCCGCCACGAGCTCGGGGCACTCCAAGCACACTAGCCCGTTATTTATCGCGTTCCGTTTGAATATATCGCCAAACGAGCCCGCGATCACCACTGGTATTCCCGCGGCCTTCAGCGCGGTCGCAGCCTGTTCCCGAGAGGACCCCGTGCCGAAGTTGTATCCCGACACTAAGATCACGCCTTTCGCTGCGTCGCTGGCGTTCGGGGAAGACCCTGAATTTTGCGACAATGAGGACACGAGCGCCGCAAAGCCCGGGTCATAGTTTTCCATGACAACTTCGGCCTGCCGTTGGAGGGTAATGTCGTCCTGGTAGGTGTATTTGCCTGGATATATAGCGTCGGTGTTGAGATTGTCTTGCGGGGTGAATAGCAGAGGCCCCGCGAACACTTTGGGGAAACCGGGCAAAACAGGGTCGTTTGCTTGGGAAGTGGGAAGGGCGGATGCTGATGGCTGGTTCGAGATGGAAAAAGTGGGCGCCTTTGTCGGCGGAAGTGCAGACGGATCGACGGAGGCGGGGCCACAAATGTATCCTTTTATAGCGCTCGCGGCAACGACAGCCGGGCTTGCAAGGTAAGCCAATGCTTTCGGGTGGCCCATCCGGCCTTTATAATTGCGATTCGTGGCGCTAATCCCTGTTTGACCTTCCTCTAGCAATCCAGTCCCCAGCCCGATGCATGGGCCACACCCAGCAGGAAGGACTTTGGCCCCGGACAGAATCAAGGTGTCCCAGTCTCCCAATTTTTCAGATTCTAGCTGAACAGTCGAACTGGCAGCAGCGATGTAAAACTCGACGCCAGGAGCAACCTTGTTTCCCCGCATTACAGCTGCAGCTGCGGAGATATCGGATACTCGAGAGTTGGTGCAGCTGACAAGGTAAGCTTTCTGGATCGCAATGCGTGATTCTTCCAGGGTGGGAAGGGGAGTGGATATTTTGACGCTGTTGGGACCAGAAACGTGGGGGACGAGAGTCGAGAGGTCAAATATCAGGTGGGATGAGTAGGCCGCGTCAACATCGGACTGTATATTATTAGCACGAAGGGCGTCGAGGCGGCGGCGATGGATACGAGAGTGCTCTGGAGGTGCTGGAATTAAAGCCGCCATCTCTGGCGAAGAAAATGTCCGGAGCTCGAGTTTGGCCAAGACCCGATCGTACCACTGGAGTAAGGTTTCGTCCACCGGAAATACGCCGACGAGGGCACCCCACTCTGTAGTCATGTTGGCTATCGTGAGCCGCTCGTCGACGGACAAGGTCGCAACTCCGTCACCGGTGAACTCCAAAGCGGCATTGAGAACCTCGTCATTGTTGAAGGAGCTACACAATGCAACGATGACATCCTTGCCCGTCACACCCGGTGCGAGCTTTCCTCTCAGCTCGACCTTGACCATGCGTGGGACTTGCCACCATGTTTTGCCAGTCGCCCAGAGAGCCGCCGCGTCTGTGCGGACGATAGGCGTCCCCACGCATCCCACACCACCATACATATTGCTATGGCTGTCGCTCGCAACGGTGAGGGTGTGCGGAAACGCGTAGCCTTCCTCGACGAGAACCTGGTGGCCGATCCCGCGACCCGCAGGATAAAAATCAATCTTGTGTTGCCGCGCGAATTCCTCAATCGACGCGTATTTCGATAGGTTCTTCGCGGACCGATTTTGCACGTCGTGGTCGAGGGTGAATACCGGCTGTACGGGATTGTTGACTCGAGTCGCGCCAATTGACTTGAACCTGGGATGGATTTGAGAACCGCCAAACACGAATATGCCAGAAAACACACTTGGATATGACGGGGCCAGTGTTGTCGTGGGTCATGACATGCTCGGGGCGTATCATAACATAGTCCCCCGCTTTGACCACTTTTCCCGAGGGGAGCCCGACTGCATACTTTTGCACAACCTTTTCGATAACAGTTTGAGGTACGCGCGGGCCAGTCCCAACCGCGGTGGCAAAACCCCGAGCTCGGGTCCAGCGACCGAGGTGCAAATGCATAAAGTGGTAGCCAAAAGCTGGGTCCAATGGGCCTGTCCAATCAAGCGAGGTTAATTTTTCAAAAGCCCCTTTCGACTTAGTGCAAATGGCCAGTCAGGGTAAAACGCACTGGTGAAGAGCCTTCACAATGCATCAGTGGTGTAGCGGTAACATTGGGTCTTCCCATCGGTGAATATGGCCTAGCTTCGGGTTCGACTCCCGGCTGATGCATTTCGTTTTGCTTCTACTGAGTTTGCCATTTTCGTTTTGTGTAGCTTACGTCCAATCCATACGCAAGGACTCAACCGTAGATTCGGGCTACAAACATATTCACACCGTCTACTTGCTCCTACTGAGTTTCGTTTTGCGTCCCTATAATAGCTTACGTCCATTTCATGCGCAAGGACTCAACCGTAGATTCGGGCTACAAACATATTCACACCGTTACCTGTACTCTTCGATAACCGAAATCGGTGTCATATATTCGCCGACGGATACGAATTTGTGATCCAAGCTGGCGAAACAGTCAGTCGTTGTACTTGAATGTAAATTAATTGGCTCACTCGAATGCGGCAGGGCCACCGCTGCGTAAACCTGCCTCAGAGTTCCAAAGGGGAGATCCGGCCATAGCAATTACTAAATAATAAAATGAGGAGGTCCAAATTGTGTGAAGCGGCGCAAAATACCGGTGACTCGAAGGCCGTAGCTGTCTATCATACGAGGAGGAAAAGTTCACATGTGTAGAATTGCACAAATAGAAACTCACAATCTTGTGATCCCAGGTTAGAACCGCTCTGGGAGTCCAGAACCGAAATCAGGTCAGGGACGATGGCCACTAGCTAAACAAGTTGATGATTATAGGTGGACCACGGCACTTGAGGCAGCAAATACCTTTCTAGACCCGTCTTTCTCCGATTGGATATACGCAGCTAGATTCTCATTCTGAAATGGATGATCATTTGGTCTCCGGGGTCGAGTGCAACAGTGGAGGCAGGCTCCTCGAGTTCTTCATCACGCAACTGGGAAATTCGGATCTCCCCCCACGTAAAACCTGCCCGGACTTCCTGTTTGAAACAGACGGTTAGTCGTGTTCTTTGTTGTTTTGGGTGTGGACGTGCCCTCGAACAACTGACTATCTTGCCAATGAAGAGACAGGCTCCATTTTGAAGCTGCAAGATTGCATCAGGAACACCCTTCATGTTACTGAACGTACCGTCAGACAATACGCAGTACTCGGAGCATCGGGCTTACTTGGTTTGCCGACTAATGGAAATAGCTCTGCCTATCCTCCACGCCTGACTCATTGTGCGGGGTACACCATAGTCTCGGGCGTCACTGACAGCGAGGGGAGGGCAGCACAGAGCCGCTGCAGACCCCATTTCGGTAGTCACTGTGCGCATCAGCGTTTCGACCAGGTGCTCATTCTTCACTTTGGTAAGAAGCTGAACAAGCCATGTCAGAGCAAGACCAATACTATATTCATACATGGCACTCACGACGACATTGTTATCACCATCACATAACGCAGCAGGAGTAAGCCTTTTAATGCATTGTTATGTTCGATCAATATGTATCCGAAAACATACGCGTTTGGTCGATCGTATACGGCTGAGCATTTCAGATTCCGGGGATGCCAGACGAAATTATACGGACCTGGAAGAACCTGGTTGAGCTTGGGATACGCTGAAATGTTATCAGTTTGCTGTTCCCCCTAACCCGAGAAACCCACCACGGCCCATGAGATCGCCGTCGAAAGCTGGTATTCCGTAGACACCAGACATGACCAACGATTGCATACCGTTGCTACCTCCAATTTCATCGCTTAAACGATATCAGTAGCTGCTCTTTTTTCCTTGGCTTGACGTACCACAACGTCGCCGCAAAACTCGCCACTCCGCAGTATTTCGCTAACTCTGTACCCGCCTCCATAATAGCAGCAGCTGGCATTAGGCGCTCGGAATCGACGGAAGGCGAGCCCATGTAGCCTATTTAGAGGTAAAAGTGTGTGTTGAACTGGCAGGAAGGATGCATACCACCACGGGCAAGGACCGCGTCATCTGCTAGCGACGAATGGTCGACAATCCGAAGGACTTTACCATCGCGTAGCATTTGTCTTGTTTTCAAGTACGCCGGATACGGATTCCCGCCTCCGCCCTGTCCGCAGATTGAGTTGCAGTTCTCAAAACAGGGGAATAACGAACGGTGCCGAGAACCCCACATCCTTCCTGTATAAAGACTGGACAAGCAAAGATGAAAAACATGCCTGGATATCAATATGACTAGCATATGACTCCAAACACTCACACAAATCGGTCTCGCTCAATATCCACTCATTGGCCACAATCTTCGGCCTGTACGCCTGGTAATCGATCCCGGTCGCTCCATCGCTCCCTTCCAGAATAATCTGTTGCGCGGATTCCGGTTCCTCCTCCACATCGGTATGCCAGGCAATATCCGATTTGGGCACCCAAGACTCGTTGGGAATTCCCAGTTCGCCAACAGCTCTGACGATGATTCGTGTCGCCTGGTTAGTCACATACTACAAGCACATGAATTCGAGTGCGGTCAGGGAGAATAATGGACAAACCTGGACTGGAAGGACGTTGATCTCAGCGATCGAAACACCGGACGGTTCAGCTCCAGCCGCGACAGCCTTTTCAACGGCGAGTATTTTGATGCGCTCTAATACTTCGGGAAGTTTCTGGCCTTGTAATATCTCGATGGTGTCAACATTGCCAGAGACATTGGCGATGGCAGCGCCAACCGCATTCGCTACGCTGTGGAACGGTGGCAGACTATTCGTGTCTAAGGTCAAGTAAGACAGAGAAACGTAGGGGAAACTACACACATGACTTCCTTGACACCCTTGAGCTCTGGGGGCACGATGATGGAGCCGCCGCCAACAAGCAAGACCGTGCAGTCCTCAGGACTGGTTTTCATCCGGTCCACGACGTTCTAACAAAAAGGGGAACTTCATTCAGCCAGGCTTCACCATGGAATGGGAATTTTACCTCGAGCAGCTTCCTTATTACCAGCTTCGATTGTGTTACTACTTCGTTCGTAACGTCTGCGACTTTGGCCGCATCGCCGATACCACCAACACCGGAACGGACACAGATGTCGGTAGCCGTCAAAACGTCGCCTCCAAAGACTTTGGCATCACGCGTCAACTAATAGGGTGTTAGCAGGAGAAGAGGGAGAGAAACACGTCTAACATAATGACCGACGGAATCTGGGCCAACAGTGACACGCCTCCCGGCATCTACCCTAACTCTGGACCCACCACCCAATCCGATAGAATTGACGTCTGGCATCGAAAAGCTGGAATCACAGTTAAAAATGGCCGTCATAACTGCCTGTTGCTCACTTTGTTCGGACGCCGGCCACTGCGCGGTTTGTTGGTCAAGGGCTACTCAAATGTCGACAGACGAACCTTCGATGAACGCGGCCGCCTGCCTCGGGAACCCGCTCGGAAGGAGTACGCCAACGTCTGTCGTAGTTCCACCAACGTCTACGACTATCATACTCTTCGCCGTCCCTTCCAAGTTCTTCTTAAGGTCTATTCCCGCTAAGAACGACGCACCTTTATTTGCGGGGTGTTAGCCAAGGCTCCGGCATAGTGTTGTCGACTGACCGCGCATTGAGTTGGTGGCACCAGAGGAAAATGTTCGAATCGGGAGCCTTGCTGCGTCTGCCGCGCTTGTCAGCGTTCCGTCGTTCTGAAATCAGAACAAAATAAGAGCCGGCTGCACGTATAATGAACGCAGATACCGACCTGGGTGAGATACAGGGGACACACGAGTCCGAGGCGCTTCATCGCGCTCTCGAATCCGCGGATGGTACGCTGGGCGAACGCGCCGATGGACGCGTTAAGGATAGACGCGTTTTCGCGTTCGATGAAGCCCACTTGCGCGACTATGGTGGAGAGGATCAGCCAATGTGGATCTTGTTTTGAAATTGAATGCGGGCAGACCATCCCGGGAACAGACGATATTGACATCCGGGCCGAGGTGTCGCAGAAGTATATCGCGGACCAGGCACTCATTCTGCCCACTGACATCCAGCGGAGAAACTGTGGAAGCTCTTCAGGGAGATATCCGAAGTGGCGATGGAATTTATGGAAAACTGACAGACGCCAATGAGAACGATGTCTTTGAGCCCTTTGGATTTAATTGGTTGGCTTGCTCGATGACCTCGCTTCGTCGATTTCGTTGATGGGACGACCGTCGCTGTGAGAGACCCTCAGGGAAGGATGCAAGAACGAAATTCAAATAGACCGACATCTGCAACCCGCCTTTGATTACTGCGGTGTGCCCGTTCATGATTGCTTTGAGGTGCGGGGGAAAGTCGAGGAACTGCAGAATGGTCGGAGTCGTATAAATTATTACTGCGGGATTGCTGAGGGCTTACCGTTGGGTACTCCAAAGTGTAAGGAGCCGCCAGTCGAATGACGGCCACTTTTGATAACCTCCTCGCATCAGCTTGAACGACCGCGTTCATAAAGTGCTGGGATGAAATAAATGAGCGTTGAACGACCGAGCTGCGGGCAGCCGAGTAGTAGAAGCATACGTACGGTAGTTCCAATCGTCAAGCTGAGAATCTTTCCATCGTGCGGATCCACACCAGCGTCGGCCATGACCTTCCTCACCGCCGCCTCGATCCCGTCGGTTACATTCGTAGTGGTCTCATGCTTGAAGCTTGCGATGACTCCTCTCGTCAATGGGTCCAGGGTCTTCGTTATGTCTATGATGACTCCGTCGGTATTCGTTCCTATCAAACCGGTCAATGAAGCTGAACAGAACAGCCAACGGGTACGCGATTGGATTACCTCCAACATCCACACCAATTCGGTATCGGCTCGTGGACATGGTTGCGGTGAAAGAAGAGATGCTTACGTCCTGATTTAGGTCATAAGTTGCGCCGGGCGAGGAGGACGCTGGAAATTCATTGGTAGCCGTGCGGTGGGCGGTGGGCGCAGAGGGGTCACAAGCTCGGCGCGTCAAGTCACACTCCAAGTGGACGCGTCGTGATACGCGACGATGGAGTTGGTATCTCAGTGGTCACCAAAGATAATCGTGATCCAAAAGTCAACGCCACTGTGCATCTGAATACAACACAAGGGCTAGCTACAGTTACCTCAATAATACAACACGTCTACGTGCCAATCCAAATCCAAAACCGTCCAGTTACTTTTAGATACGTGATAAGTCAGAATATGGCATTGATAATAC